CGCCTGCCCCTTCAGGTCGCTGGGAGCGCCGGCGGGAAACGGGGCGGAGGAGCCCGCCCCGAACCGCCGCCCCTCCGCTTGCACCCGCGGCGGTGTGTCGGCAGTGGGGTGTGCGGTCTCCCGCGGGGGAGCGGAGTGCGGAGGGGCTGCAGAAGAGCAGCGCTTGGCCATGGTCCCGCAGGCGTGTGCGTTAAGGAGGGGGAGACGCAAAGAGAGAGCTTCTGCACTGGACCTGTGCGATTGCTGCTGAAACCGAAGAATTTGAAGCCGGGGAGGAATGAGGATTTATAGGATGAGACTAGTTACGGATATGTTTTCTATTTGCGGGGTTAGAGGTCTAGGTTGTAAGCCCCTCTGGGCATTATCTACCACCCTTTATATGTTCCAAGCAGAGAAGATTAAAAAAGAGAGTAAAAGGTATACACGTAGCTGTGAATAAATCTTAGTTTCTCCAAGTCATCTACTCATGAATGACTGTCTTCAGCTTTGTTTTGCTGAGCAGTATCTAGATCAGGCCCTTGTCATCTTGAGCACAGTGCTTTAGTATCACGTGTGTTCCCATTGAAGTCCATACGACAACTGAACAGCATGAAACGTTGACAAGATCTGGTTCAAAATTGTGAGCCCACAGGTAGCAAGATGCTCTTTGTTATTGCAAAGTGCAGTGCTCTAGTGCATATACATATGCAGTGCTCTTGTGTGCTTACATAAATTCTGCCTACAAATTGCTGTGCTTGCTACCAACCATGTATAGTGGTCAGAATACTGACTTAAAACATTTTGTGGTGGATGGTTTCCCAAAACCTGAAGAGCATGTATTCCTATGAATTTAAACAGAAACATCTCCTGTGTACCTGCAAGCTTGATTTAGTTGAGACTTTGATGTTTCACTTAAGTAACCACTATAGGATATGTTGTACATTCTTAGCCTCAGCCAATTATTTATAAAATTGAGGTACATGCAGGGATGTACAAGCACAAGTTCCCTGCTGTCAAGGTATTCAAATCTCTAACTCCAGTGTGGCAAGATCACTGTGACAACTTAGAATGAGCAAACTGCATGGTCTTTGTGGTGGTTGAATGCTTACACATGTGTGCGCATACACACAAACACACAAAATCAGTTACATGCAATTGGTTTAATCACTTACGCGCAGAAGGTCGATCCTTTCATGCTAAGCTGGTTACTGACTGAAGAACAAAAGCTGTTTCCTCTAAGAGAACCAGAGTGCAGCTATTCCATAAGGGCACTGTCCTGCTACATGCTAGAAACTGTGGAACAGAATGACTCAGTTAGAGAAGGCCTGAAATCTGGGGGCTGGCAGGGGTCAGGGTGCTGCAGAAGGCCTAGCGAAAAGGAGTGCTTTCTTCCGTTCCCTCTCCCAGGCTGGCATTCAGAATGGCTGCAGTGGTAGAGTTGGGAAACACATCAGAAGGGTGCACACCTTCACTACAAAACGTGCGATCCTTTAGTTAAAAAGATTTGAAATTACTCTTTTGTAGTACGGTGATTTCTGCATGGTTCCTTCTTTTCCTTCACTTCATCTGAGGTTCAAGGGTTTGAAATCTTCTTAAACATCCCACTCTTTGCTGCAGTGGCTCCTAACAAAAAATGGCTTTGACACAAGTTTGGGTGCAGTTTTGTGTGGCGTGAAAATCAAACTTGGCTGTCCTCTCACCCTCTTTCTATTTTTGTAAGTAAATTACATCAGTGATTTGGAGATTTTTACAAGGAAGAGGTGGACTTTTACATCTTTAAAATAATAGAACAACCACCTCCAATTTAATGAAAAAAAACCCCAAAAATTGTCAAGCCTGAAGAGTGAGCATGAACTGACCTGAAGTTAGACTCCTTTCCTTTCCCACTGTCTTCCAGAGAATCTTCACTTGGTTCAGAGGGAGTTTCCCATTTTACATCGTGATTCTTCTTTAGGGGAGGGTTATTTTCATTCTCTGTTTCTCAGACCTTTTTCTGTAGATGGGAACGGGGGAAGGAGCCCAGACGTGGCAACACATTCTCAGGCTCCTGCAGGACCGCCATGGCTTATGATGACTCCAAGAAGAAAGAAGGTATGACTGCTTCATAATCTCAGAGGGAGTTGCCAAAAAAAAAAAAAGGGTACCCTCTGCAGCCCTTACCAGGCCATGCAGTCAGAGTGGGAAAGGAAGCCAGTATGCTGTGGAGCACTTAAATTTAGCCTGGCCAAGTTGCTGGAGGATCCCAAGCCCTTGACTTCCAGGTGTAAAGTACTGGGGTTAGAACTTGAGAAAAATGGGTGGTATTTCCTAATGCAAACACTTTGATTGGAAACTCTGCCACTGCAGCCTTTCTTCTCCCAGCCAGGTCAATGGAATGGGAGACCAGGGATGTGGATACGTTTGGTCATGGTAACATTTCTAGGTCCATTTGTCATTAGGAAGAAATATACAAGGGTTAGAAATAAAATCGTGAGCGATTGCATTAGAGCACTGAGCCCAGTCCCTGTGGTCAGAGAATACAGATTGTTATCTCTTAGGCCCCTGTGCTTGTTGGGTTTTGTGCATCACTCTGTGCCAATGTCTGCTGTTATATTTTTTTGTGCATAGTCTACGTCTGTCATTCCTTAATGGGGTATTTAATTTCTTCCTTTTTTCCCATTTCATGTAAATCTTAGAGTTCCTAGAGAGGGATCGAAGTGTTGATGACGTGGGGCTGGCAACTGGCAGGATACAGCGAGAGAAAAAGCGCTCTTACAAGGATCTGCTGCAAGAGGAAGACCAGATAGCAACTCAGGTCAGGAAGCGCTCAGAGAAAAGGTTGAAGGTGTAATGATGTGTGTAAAGCTAGTGCTGGAATTGGATGGATGGGTTTCTTGTTCTTTTTTGATATAGAAATGCATGTAGAAGACAGCAAGAGCAGCTAATCATGTCTTGTACTGCTCAGTAACTTTGCTGGGGAAAGGGAGGGGTCAGTCCAAATTACAACCAATTCTGATTTTTCTGGCCTCAGAAAATAGGGTAGTAGGATGCTGTCATAGTCTTGATGTAGAACTTTGCAAGTCATAAGGTAGCATGAATAACTTTTTACACACACACACACACACACACACACACAAAGATTTTCAGAATTTATGGTTGTATAAATAGCCAGCAAAGGATGAATATAATGTTAACTGATGTGCTGTTGTCTTCCTGATTCTGCAGACAGCCTGAAACGATAGCTCTTGAGAGGTATGAACTTGCCCTATTCACCTCTTTGGGGCCTTAACTTTGAAATCACATAGTGACAACTTAAGTTTCTTCTAAACTTTTCTCTTTGAGATAAAATTTCTGCTGTTAGCTCAAAGGTGACTATCTTGTGATATTTTTTTTTTTTTAATCTGGAAAAGAAGTGCTAGTTTAAAATTAAAATCTTCTACCATGCAGATGGAATTCTGTAGAGGAGCTTCATTTTCAGACCATAAATTGGTCAAGAGACAAATAATAATTGGGTGACATGACATATTAAGGACAGTTTTTTGGCCCATCATTTTAATTGTCACCTGTCTGTACCTTCTTTCACTTCTTTTATCTTTTTCAGCATATTAAACACGAACTGCTCGCCTTCATTTTCAAGGCTTGACAGCCTATGCATGCTTAGTTATTTCTTAGCTTTATTAAGAGGTAGATGTCTGTCTTTTACCAACTCATCAGCTGATCTCCAAATGCTGGCTTTCATTGCCCATTTCTTAAAACTTTCAAATGTGCTTTTCAAGTTTTCTTGCGTATTGTTCCTCTCACGTGGAGGGAGCTCCCTGTAGGGATCTGTCTTTCAGTTTCGTTATTATAGCCCTGTTGTGCTGCAATGCCTACAGAAAGCTTGATGCCAGTTAGGTGGCTGATGTGCTGAAACCAATCCTGACTAATACCATTTTTTGTGTTCTCCCATCTATCTGTACCATGCTTTTTGTCTCTTAACTTAAACCTACACTGTGGGCTCTTGGGGACAGAGTATGTTTCATTTGCTTGTTTTAGCACCTAGAATAATGATCCCGGTTCATACCTAGGGTTCCTTGATGTTACAGTAGTACAAATAACTCTTGATATCTCCTACACATTATTATCTATGTCAATAGTCTATGTGAATCTCCTATTATTCCCCTCTTGTTTGTCAGCAACTTTTTTCTTCTTATTCTAGGACAGTGAGGTTTTTCCGGGGACAGAACCTCACAAAAAGAAGAGAAAGCACTCCTCCGATGAGTTCTGCTACAGAGGTAACATAGTAATCAAGCAGGGGAAGAGGCTAACAGATCATGACTTTGATGAAAGGATGCTGTTAAGCCAGCGTCATCAGGCTTTGTCATTAGCACTTATGGGGCTGAGTACATCAACCTGTCTTAGGACAAGTAGTCAGAAACCTGACACTGATCAGCACCAGACAGCAGAAGATTAGAGAATGATATTTTCTGAGTCTAGCTTAACAAGTTGCCATTGTTGGGGGTAGAGATCTTCCACCCCTTTTCATTGGCAAGTTGTAGTTTCCTAATCCATGCCTTCCTGTTTGGCATTTGCATTTGGTTTTTTCCCTATTGCATTCCAAATTGTAATTTTACTTGCAGATAGTATTATTTTATCTGAATTTATAGAAATAGAATGTATGAGGGTGAAAAATAAAATTTTTTAGGTTCATTTTAAGAATAGAAACATTATTCTCACAATTAATAAGCTGGCCAGAAAATGACAATTCTGTTCATGAGAGCTTAATAGGTTAAAGTTTTTTTTTGGCCCAATGAAAAGAGAAAGGCAAGCTGAAATTTCATCAAAATCTGTTTTCAGAATGAAAAAGCTTGTATTTTCAATTCATTGATCTCACCTTGGCTAAAAATGTCACTAAAACCTTGCACTTGAGAAGTAATTTCAGGCTCAATAAGATAATTTTCATAAAAATATATTATTTCACAATAGATTACAGAGTTTGACAGAACTCCAAGAACTTTCAGACTCTGTCTTCCTGCCTCAAATTATTTGACCAGCTCAGGCATTACAGCTCCTGAATTGTATCATTAAGGCCATGCTGAGCTGGCTACAAGCTTCAGAGACCTTCTGCTTAATCCAGGGTGTAAATCTGTTAGCTGTAATTGTAAGTCTTGCAGGATTCCCACTTTACTTCTTTGGGCTAGTGTAATCCTGTCTTTAAGGGAATCATCTTGATGTACATTTCTCTTGATCTTTTTCAGGTGTTTCGCCTTTGGATCTACCATCAAAGAAGAAGAAAAAAGCAGTTTCTAGCCCATCCTCAGCTGATACAACCATGGATTTACTCAAGGCTATCACCTCGCCTTTGGCCACAAGCTCAAAGTCTTCAAAGAAGACCTCTGAAAAAACGTCTTATTCTTCCTCTGGCCATTCCGAAAGCAAAAAGGAGCACCACAAGAAGAAGCTGAGTGGGAGCAGTGGGGAGCACTCGGTGGACGATGGCAGCTTCCACAAATCTAAAAAAATGAAACCTCTGTATGTGAACACAGAAACACTTACGCTTCGTGAACCTGATGGCTTGAAGATGAAGCTCATACTTTCACCAAAAGAGAAAAGCAGTGCAGCAGATGATGATTCTTTCTCCTATTCTTCAGCACCAGCAGCTGCAAAGAAATCTTCAAAGAAATCAGCT